TGGACCCAGGCCAGCTTACAGCATTCTCTTTTCCTCCATTTTATCTTTACAACAATTGTGTGAGGTAGGTTAGGCTGAGAATGTGTGTGACCAGCCCAAGGTCACCTAGTAAGCACCATGGCAAAGTGGGGGGTGATAATGCATCTCCCAGATCCTAGTCTGAAATTAACTACTATACCATGCTGGTTTTTGTGGGTTGGCTGCTATTGAACAGTAGTAAGCAGCTGGGCCTTGGTGAGTAATGCAAGTCAGGTGGTAGCAAAGTCACCTGGTGGCTGCTAGCAGGCCTGGCCCTGATGAGTCCTCTTTCAGAGACCAAAAATAGCCCTGAAAGGGCCTATCCCTGTCCTTGCCTTTTAGTGACAGAAGCCAAAGCTTGAAGGCTGGCAGTTCTTTTGTAGTTGCCTAGCAGTGACCACTGAGACATTTGTTTCTTAAAGCTAAAATGTGTATGTGTATATCTCTCCCTTATATATAAAGGCATAGTGGGCTCCAACATTCCAAAATGTGCACCTTTAGTGTATGGACGCTTGAACTGTCAGTCAGAAGGCGCTGGCTGGGTTGACTGGCTGCTTTGTGCAGTCCCGTCCAGCGTTTCAAGGTCTTTTGCATATGGAAGCTGATTGGACTTCACTCCATTCCACACCTCAAACTCCCCCTCCCCCCCGGGCAAGGTAGTTGGAATGTCAGTTGCATATGGAACCTGCTGTATTCTGGTGGTGTGCAGGTCCCAGGTTCATATTTTAAAAGCTGCCTGAGGGATTATGGACCATTCACACACTTTCAACCTTAACATACCTCATAGGGTAGTTGTGCGGATCATACAGGGGAGAGGAGAATGATGTCAGCTGCTTTGGTTCCCACTGCAGGGAAAGACTGCCCTTTCCCTAGGCAGAGGCTGGGTGTGTGTGTAAACCTGAAGACAGACAGGCAGATAAAGGTAGGCTGATGGCTGCCTGGAAAGGACATAGGGTTGCCAACTCCAGGTTGGAAACTTCCAGGATATTTTAGTGATGAAGCCTGCTGAGGGTGGGGTCTGAGGAGGAGGAGGAGGACCTCAGACAGATACAATGCCTTACTCCCC